GAAAAAGCAATTGTATAAAGTACATCGATTATGAACAATATCTGAGTAAAACATGGTTAACGGTGGGAAATGCTCATATTTCCAAGATTATGTGTCTTTTAGAAGGGAACTGTTTCAGCTGCTGAAACATACTGAGTTTTTCCTAACATTTCCCTATTACTGTTTTAAGTAAGCAAACGTAACATACGACAAAAAACACTGCGTGCATTGCAGCTACGACGCCTCGAAGAAGGTTAAGCGCAACGGAAAGACAGAGCCTGGAAAGACAACGACAGCTTGCTGCTGAACGTAAACGCCGATATCGGTCATCTGAATCCTATCGTCAGGCTGAAAGAGTACGTGATGCAGTCGCTCATCGACTATTGCGATCCCATCCCGTTTCTACAGCTTCGATGGGGAATGCTTTTGATGAACCCGGTACAAGTCGCGGTCTCCAGCAAACAGCTTTAGGTATTTTAGCACCATGATATTTCTGCTTTCTTAATGTGCTATAATGAACAACAGTGCTTACAAACACATCAGTGCGCATTGTCATTACTCATTGAACTGAACTTCATTTTTCTCAGTCCCATGCAACTACACAAAATCATCAGCGTCGCATACCAACCAGGTCCGTGCAAACATGCGTTTTTGCATTTTTTTGCTTCAGTAAAATCGCTTGGAGTCCAAAATAGCTAGATTTTTTAGAATACTGGTTCTCGAAGTTTGAAATGGTAATTGTGCAATTACGTGGTAATTGATTAGGGAACATTCCCTTAAAATTTCAGCTTTTCAGTGTATTTCGGCCAAAATTTTCATGTGTTCGTACGTAAGGCTAGACGTGTGTAAGGGATGGCACCGCGGTCCTGAGGTGACAGTTGGCCGGGGAAACCACTGGCAAAATTTTAGCACCAGACCTTGCCTGGTTATCGAGTTGAAATACTCGGGCAGACACACACACGAGCAAACACGCATACCACACGCATACAATGAGCTGTCACAATATGTGTTTTTGCATTTGCGTATATGCCAAAACGTATAGCTATACCAAATTTTGAGTCTTACTATGACATAATGCATTTGTTAGCAATTACATGAAACCAACCACATACTTTTGCATTAGAATTCCATTTCAGAATTCTTTCGAACAGATTTTTTCTGCAAAATTCCACTTTTAAATCTTCTTTCAGGCATAAGCCGCTCAAACAGTACGCAAGAAGCGAGCAACAGCAATGCCGAATTTGCAGCGAATGCGGTTCCAAACAGCCTAGACAGTTCTGCAGTAGAAAAACGCGAAAAAGCAGTGAATCGCATGCTGTTGCTTCGGCAGGATTATGATTACAAACAGAGAGAAAATACTGCGAACAGGGAAGCAATGAAAAAACGCAGGGCTTCCGATGAGGGCTATAAAGTAAGGGAAAGGACTGCAGGTGCTGAAGCTAAGCAGCAACGACGAGAGACAGACTTGGAATACAGGGAAAGAGAAAGGATTGCAAATGCTGAGGCAATGCGACAGCGTCGAGAGACGGACGTTGAATACCAAGAAATGGAAAGGATTGCAAATGCTGAAGCAATGCGACACCGTCGGCAGACGGACATTCAATACCAAGAAATGGAAAGGATTGCAAATGCTGAAGCAGTGCGACAACGTCGACAAATCGACTATCTCGAGTCGGAAAGGCTTGTAGATGCTGAGATAAAGCAACAACGACGAGCGGCAGGCGTTGAATTCCGGGAAAGAGAGAGGGTTGCAAACGCTGAAGCAATGCGACAACGCAGAGAGGCAGACCTGCAGTACAGAAAAAACGAAAGGGAGATGAATTTGGAATCAATGAGGGTACGCAGGGAAGAGAATTTGGAATACGGACAACGAGAAAGAGAAGCTAACAGTCAAGCAATGCGGATTCGCAGATCTACTGATGAAACGGAGAAGGAGCGTCAAGAAAATGCCTTGAGAATGCAGCATCGACGAAGTAGCGGGGTGATACGTGAGCAGGAACGCATTAGGGATCGGGAAGCGAAGCAGCAAAAAAGAACCTTCACTTACACTTCGGGTGTTGAAGCATATGAAAATGCAATCAAGGAAGGGCCAACGTACACGTGTAACTGCTGCGGCAGATTAGAATTCCGACGCTCTGTTTCTGTACTCAAACTGTCACATCTGCAGCAAGCTAGCGGTGCAAATGAAGTCCGAAAAAATCTTATAAGAAATGTATTTTATCTACAGCAAGTCGAAGAATGCTTCTTCTGCAAAACGTGCGTACAGAGCATTAAATGCTGGAAGCAACCTCGTTACTGTCTTTCAATCGGGTTGCACTTTCCCGTCGTGGACCGCAAACTGCAGATTTTGACAAGACTAGAAGAACGACTTGTAGCTGCACGTCATATTTTCCAGACAACCTGGCCATCACACGGCCCCTCTGGGCAGTTCCGGTGTAAGGGAGGAATTGTTAATGTCCCAGATTCCGTCGATACGACAGTGTCCCTCCTTCCTCGTCTTCCCACTGATGCGCATGTCGTGCATGTTCGTATTGCACGACGAATGCAGTACAAAGGCAACTATATTACTGGCAACGTCAGACCAAACTGCGTCTGGCAAGCTGCTGTGCACCTTACGGCTCAACCACTTTATCAACCCCACAGTGTTGCTCTTTCGGACAACTGGTTGATGCAGCACTGTCACGTCCAGCCCATTGCGGACGCAAACATCGAGCCGGAGAAAGATAAAGAAGAGGAAGATGCTGAGCCTCTTAACCCCGGCGCACAAGAAACTACATTGTCGGCTGAGGACGGTGAGCACGGTATAAGGATGGCTCCTGGCGAAGGTCGTAGGCCTCTTTCAATCCTTCTGGACGAAGATACCGAGTATCTTTCATTCCCAACAATTTTTGGCGGGTATAAACTGCAACCCGTCTTTCAAGGCCGTCCAATGTCGTACTCGGATATCGCTAAATCATTCGCAATGCGATACTATCGAAGAGTAGCGCAACGCCCCGATTACTTACTGTTCATGGCCAAGAAGATTGAGTTGCTGAGATTGTCTAGCAACATATCTTTATGCTTGCGGAAAAAGAAAATCCGCAACCGCAATGACATCAATGCCGCTAATCTCAGCAATAATGATTTCATCCACGGCTTGTACAGCACGATGAAGCATATCGTGTTCTTACTGGTGTGCGAAATTCCTGCACACATTGGCACAATGAAAAGCAGAAAGTATTGGCAATGGTGAGGCAGTTTGGACTGCCAACCTTCTTCCTCACTCTTTCCGCGGCTGAAACACAGTGGCCCGAACTTCTTCAAATTCTGAAACGGGTTGTTGATAACGAAAGCATTACTTCAGCAGAAGCACTTATATTACCGCATACTGAAAAATCAAGACTGATTCAGTTGGATTCAGTTACCTGTGCACGGTACTTTAATTACCGGTATCAAGGACAGAGGAAGCTATGGGATCTTCCTGACGATCCATTCCAAGGCATAGCAATTACACACTCATATTATAAGGTGGAATTTCAGCAGCGAGGGTCAACTCACATACATCAACTCCTCTGGCTAAGCGACGCGCCGGTTTTCGACACTGTTTCCGGTCAAAATGAACGTGAAGTGTGCAATTTCATCGACAGATTCATTGCATGCTCCTCCATAGTTGATATTCAGGACCAACAAGGACCCAGTCTCAGTCCACATTATCTTGAATTCCAGTACCACAGGCATGCTGATACGTGTGGAAAACGTAAGACAGGAAAGTGCAGATTTGGGATACCGTTTTACCCAATGCGCAACACCCGAATTCTGCGGCCATCGGCCTAGAACACTGACGAGCAGGAGCGTGAGCGCCTTGCAGTAGTGCTAAAGCGAATAAAAGGTGTTTTGACGGAGAGCGAAAACTTGAAGAGCATCAGTTTTGATGAATTTCTGGAAAGGTGTCAGGTTTCAGAAGAAGAATACTTGGTAGCAATAAGGGCCGAACTACGAAGACGCAAGGTTTACCTGCACCGTAATCCCTCGGATGTAATGATTAACCCGTACTCACCAAAAATACTGTCTACGATGAGGTCCAATATGGATCTAAAATACGTGCTCGACCCATATGCGTGCGCATCCTACATTATCGATTACATCAATAAATCCGACCGAG